TTGTGACCAGGGAATTCTCTGTTGGGGTCCTCTGGCGAGTAGGTCTTCAATTCCAGAGCAAAGATGTACTCGTCGCCGGGCCTCAGGCTGAGTAAAGGCAATGATGATGATGATGTTGATGATGATGATGACACACACGGGAGGTAGGTGAACGTAAGATTGCCAATCTTGACGTGAATGTTCATACCGTAATTTCGCATACTCATATCAAAACTACTATGAGTCATCTCACTACAGGCGAACGGCCCATCATCAGCTCGGCCATTCTCATCATCATACCACCATGCCGACATCGACGACCACACAAACACCATACGCCAATTCGAGTAAGCACCATCTTCACCACCTGACTGCGGCGACCCCAACAAATTGGACACATTCAGTGCTGTAGTCGTAGTCGTAACCTCATCGGCCTCCTCTACTGCAGTTGTCGGCAAATCATCACTTGGCATGTTCCGAATGAACCCCACCAGAGCTCGCCATAGCCGAGGGCGGAAGAAGACTTTGATCGCCCCCAATCTGAAGTTGAACAACATCTTAGCGTGTTTGCCTTTCTCTTCTATCGCGATCCGTTTGTCCGAGACGAACACAGTGATGTCAACCAACTCCTCTGTGGTGTCGCTCAACAAGAGATCATTATCAGGCCCATTGGTGATGCTCAATGCCTTGATACCGAAGGTCAGCTTAGTGTACATATGATGGACCTTAGCCATAGCAGTGATCGCACTAGCAGAGAGATCTATACTGGGCCGACCCTCCATACAGTGGATGCTCACAGTAGTCGTAGGTATGGACACTTCAACCGATATGAAACTGGCCCAGTTGAGCTGTTCTCTGTCCCCCACCATCCCGCTTGGCCTTGCTGATTCCACTGACTTCTCCTCCTCCTTATGATGATGATGCCCGTCCTCACTAGTCGGCAATTCAAAGTTCAACCCCGTGGACTTCCTGAGCGGCCTCACCGCCGCCGCCGTCTGTGGTGGGCGCCGTCGTAATGGTGGTAGTGGATGATGATACCACAGGAGTAGCCAGTAGCATGAGCCGTAGTGCACGTATA